TGTTTTAAAAACGCGTCATCCAGTCACTGAAACAGACAACGTAAACAATAACAACGGAAAAGACAAAAATACCAAATCGGACTGTATTACAAACGCGTCATCCAGTCACTGAACCAGACAACGTAACCAATAGAACGGAAAAGACAAAAAATACCAAATCGGACTGTATTAAAAACGCGTCATCCACTCACTGAACCAGAGAATGTAACCAATAGCAACGGAAAATACTTTAAATTTTTTGAGTTAACTGTTCAGGAAAATATATGTCAACTGATAGAAACGGCCTTTTTAGGCATTTTTTGTATTTTTTATATAGAATTCCGTCCATTATTATTTGTATTATTTAAAAGCCAAATAAATTCGCCATTTGTAGGTAAATATTTCTCGTTGCGAGGTGACCTCGTCTGGTTCAGCGTCTGGATAATACGTTTTCCATAAGGTCCGATTTGGTATTTTTCTTAAAGGTGTGACCGACAACGGAACCATTTGCAACGGAAAATATGAACAATTTCTTGAATTAAACGTTCAAAAATTATATGTCTAAAGAACGGCTTTGACTTTCTAAAAATTTTGGTTTGTGTTTCATCAAAATCCGGTCAGGCGTCTAGCAAAAATGTGTTTTTTCATATATATTTGATTTTTATTTACAAGCTAAAAACCTCCATTTGTAGCTAAATATTTTCCGTTGCGAGGTTACCTTGTCTGGTTTAGCGACTGGATAACCCGTTTTCAATAAGGTCCGATTCGGTATTTTATTAAAGGTGTAACCGTAAACTGAACCATTAGCATGGGAAAGTATTAAAACGTTTTTTTTATTAAATTTAAAAAAAATGTATGTCCAATTAACGACATGATTTTCGTATATATCTTTGATTATTATTTAAGGCCAAATAAATTCACCATTTGTAGCTAAACATTTTCCATTGCGAGGTTACCTTGTCTGGTTCAGCGACTGGATAAGCCGTGTTCAAAAAGATCCGATTTGGTATTTTTCTTAAAGGTGTAACCGTAAACGGAACCATTAGCAAAGGAAAATATTAACAAGTTCTTTAATTAAATTTTTTTAAAATGTATGTCCAATTAACGACATTATTTTTCGTATATATCTTTATTATTTAAAGCCGAATAAATTCACCATTTGTAGCTTAATATTTTCCGTTGCGAGGTTACCTTCTCTGGTTCAGCGACTGGATAACCCGTAACAATAAGGTATGATTTGGTATTTTCTTAAAGGTGTAGCCGTCAAAGGGACCATTGGCATGGGAAAATATTAAAAAGTTCTATAATTAAATTTAAAAAGAAATGTATGTCTAATTAACGGCTTGATTTTTCGTTTATATCTTTGATTATTATTTACAAGCCAAATAAATTCACCATTTGTAGCTAAACATTTTCCATTGCGAGGTTACCTTTTCTGGTTCAGCGACTGGATAACCCGTTTCAATAAGGTCCGATTTGGTATTTTTATTTGTGGTGTTGCCGTCAACGGGACCATTGGCATGGGAAAATATTAAAAAGTTCTATAATTAAATTTAAAAAGAAATGTATGTCTAATTAACGGCTTGATTTTTCGTTTATATCTTTGATTATTATTTACAAGCCAAATAAATTCACCATTTGTAGCTAAACATTTTCCATTGCGAGGTTACCTTTTCTGGTTCAGCGACTGGATAACCCGTTTCAATAAGGTCCGATTTGGTATTTTTATTTGTGGTGTAGCCGTAAACGGAACCATTAGCGAGGGAAAATAATAAAAATGTCTTTACTTAAATTAAAAAAATCTATATTCAATTAACGACATTATTTTTCGTATATATCTTTGATTATTATTTAAAGCCAAATAAATTCACCATTTGTAGCTAAACATTTTCCATTGCGAGGTTACCTTGTCTGGTTCAGCGACTGGATAACCCGTTTCAATAAGGTACGATTTGGTATTTTTATTTATGGTGTAGCCGTAAACGGAACCATTAGCGAGGAAAAATATTAAAAAGTTCCTTACTTAAATTTAAAAAAAATCTATATTCAATTTACGACATTATTTTTCGTATATATCTTTGATTATTATTTAAGGACAAATAAATTCACCATTTGTAGCTAAACATTTTCCATTGCGTGGTTACCTTGTCTGGTTCAGCGACTGGATAAGCCGTTTATAATAAGGTCCGATTTGGTATTTTTATTAAAGGTGTAACCGTAAACGGAACCATTAGCAATGGAAATATTAAAAAGTTCTTTAATTAAATTTAAAAAAAATGTATGTCCAATTAACGACATGTTTTTTCGTATATATCTTTATTATTTAAAGCCAAATAAATTCACCATTTGTAGCTTAACATTTTCCGTTGCGAGGTTACCTTGTCTGGTTCAGCGACTGGATAACCCGTTTCAATAAGGTCCGATTTGGTATTTTTATTAAAGGTGTAACCGTAATTAAATTTAAAAAGTAATGCATGTTTAATTAACGGCTTGATTTTTCGTATATATCTTTGATTATTATTTACAAGCCAAATAAATTCACCATTTGTAGCTAAACATTTTCCATTGCGAGGTTACCTTGTCTGGTTCAGCGACTGGATAAGCCGTGTTCAAAAAGGTCCGATTTGGTATTTTTCTTAAAGGTGTAAACGTAAACTGAATCATTAGCAACGGAAAATATTATCAATATCTTGAATTGAAAATTGAAAAATATGTAAAAATAAATATCGCTACATCAGTATTGGGGCAAACAAAACATCGTGAAATAAATATATCATTTTGAGAACAATATCAATATAATGCACATGGATACAATCGGTACCTTTTTCTTTTATTTTCTATGCCATCGGTCGCACTTTTTTTCAAAATCCGCAAAACGTAAAAATGTAAACGTGTAAAATGGTTGTATAGACGTGTATAATGTAAAATGTTAATTAACTGCCTCTGAATGCAGAGTAAATATCATCGGTTTTTGGGCCAACAAAATATCGCGTTTTGTATATATAACTTTGAGAAAAATATTAATATAATGCACATAGATACAATCGGTACCGGTTTTCTTTTCCTATGCCTTCTATCGCACTTTTCTCAATACCCGCAATATTGTGTAAACTTTTTCTTTTATTTTACCCGAAAAATTCTGTAAACTTTTTTTTAATTTTCTAGCACTTCTCTCTTAAGGCTCTTTTCTTAGTACACGAGAGTACAAAAACGAACCGAAGATGTTCATTAATAAAGATATATATACTATTTGGCTACTGTTAATAGAATGAAAAAACATATGTATTTACAAAAATGGTTACACCATTCAATACATTCAATTTTGAGAAATATTTCATATGCCGTTATTTATATACAGTAAATGTAACGAAGAAAATAGATGTTCGAATACAAATGGTCAATTCAATATTTTCATTTATTCAGTAACCCAAGGTCGCTGATAATATCGTCTAAAGGAATTTACAAAAATTGGGAGTAGAAATGTCAAATAAATTAACGTTCCAAACTCCTACAATCCAGTTAATTATAATACTTCCAGGTTATATAGGAGAACAAAAAAAATCTAAAATTAAGCCGACGGCTATTTTTGGGTCATTGGATATATATGAAATAGATACAAATAATAATAACCATAATTTATACTGATTTTTTTTTAATAAATAACATATCCGCCTCTTTTTCTTAGTATTTTCTATTCTGTTAAATGCAGCTGGAGTGGCAGCCCTTCACCCGACAGCAAACGAGAGAGAACTCTGTTAATTTATGCTATTTTTGTCTGGATAAAAGCAGATCTGTTTATAAATTCCTTCATTAAAATTCCACTCGATGTATATGTAAACGTGTAAAATGGTTTAATAGACGTGTATAGCGTATAATGTTAATAAACAGCATCTGAATTCAGAGTGACCAAAAATATGTAAAAATAAATATCGCTACATCAGTATTGGGGCAAACAAAACATCGTGAAATAAATATATCATTTTGAGAACAATATCAATATAATGCACATGGATACAATCGGTACCTTTTTTCTTTTATTTTCTATGCCATCGGTCGCACTTTTTTTCAAAATCCGCAAAACGTAAAAATGTAAACGTGTAAAATGGTTGTATAGACGTGTATAATGTAAAATGTTAATTAACTGCCTCTGAATGCAGAGTAACCATCATCGGTTTTTGGGCCAACAAAATATCCCGATTTGTATATATAACTTTGAGAAAAATGTTAATATAATGCACATAGATACAATCGGTACCGGTTTTCTTTTCCTATGCCTTCTATCGCACTTTTCTCAATACCCGCAATATTGTGTAAACTTTTTCTTTTATTTTACCCGAAAAATTCGGTAAACTTTTTTTTAATTTTCTAGCACTTCTCTCTTAAGGCTCTTTTCTTAGTACACGAGAGTACAAAAACGAACCGAAGATGTTCATTAATAAGATATATATACTATTTGGCTACTGTTAATAGAATGAAAAAACATATGTATTTACAAAAATGGTTACACCATTCAATACATTCAATTTTGAGAAATATTTCATATGCCGTTATTTATATACAGTAAATATAACGAAGAATGTAAAATAGCAACTAAAGTAAAATAGCAACCTATAAAATAAATAAAATTAACACTTGCAAAGTTTATACAATATAAATATATTATGGTATAAATAAACGAACCCACTACATTCCTATACTTAATTTTAAAAAATCATTAAAAACATATTTTGAATTTAAGTTGTATGCTCATAGTAACCTTCAGTGTCCTCCTAATTCTCCAGCAACTTTTTTTAAGTCTTTTTTATTTTACCGGAAAAATTCTGTTAGCGCCCCCATTTTTTTTTTAAATTCAACCGCAAAATTCTGTTAAACTTTTTTTCATTTCACCAGAGTAATTCTGTTAACTCTCTTAAGTTTCTGTGACGTAGTCGGAATTAGGAGTGACCAAAAAATATATAAAAAATATACCAACAACGATATTTAGGCAAATAAAATATCACGATATAAATATATCGATATATTGATATATTTTCAACAGCCCTACTGGTCACACTCTCTTTTCGCTATTGGTTTCCGGCAAGGTCTGTACATAAAATTAGGGTACACGTGCTAAATATATAGTTTTTTATAATAATTTCTGGTCGTTGTGCCTGTAAATTGACGTCTTTTAACTCCGAGCCGTTCCGTGCTTCATTGGATTATAAGAAAAACTGGCTGATGACTGAGCCGGCCCCTAGAGACTAATATGTGTTTTTAATTCCGTCATTGCAGCTCCAAAATGACCATTCGTCCAGCGTACAGACCCAAGATTGTAAAGAAGCGCACTAAGCACTTCATTCGCCATCAGTCGGATCGCTATGCCAAGTTGTCGGTAAGTGCGAATCAATTAATTTATTATCTGGCTCTTCATATCACATTTTTGTTGTCATTGCAGCACAAATGGCGCAAGCCCAAGGGTATCGACAACAGAGTCCGTCGTCGCTTTAAGGGCCAGTATCTGATGCCCAACATCGGTTACGGATCCAACAAGCTGACCCGCCACATGCTGCCCACCGGCTTTAAGAAGTTCTTGGTGCACAATGTGAAGGAGCTGGAGGTGCTGCTCATGCAAAACCGCGTATATTGCGGTGAGATCGCCCATGGCGTGTCTTCAAAGAAGCGCAAGGAGATTGTGGAACGCGCCAAGCAGCTGTCTATTCGCCTGACTAACCCCAACGGTCGTCTGCGTTCTCAAGAGAACGAGTAAGCTTAAGGTTAAGATCATAGCCCTTGTAACGTTTTCGGAATACAAGTTTCAAACGTTAAAAACACCAGTTTGACATATTTTTTGGGTTTTTGTGGAGAACCCCATAACGTTTTTTTTTTCGACTTGTCCCTTTTCCGTAAAAGTATAAATTCAATTTGTATATTTTATTCGTATTTTATATTATTAGTATTAGTACAAGTCGATGATACGGTTTGGATCTTTATTAGTTCCATTTACATAATTAAGTGCAGTCGAATTAACCGAGCATAAATTTCATAAACTCGATGCCTCTCGGATGCCAAAAATTAAATTTTAAAGGGACATCGATATCTACAATATAATGAAGTAAAAAGAAGGGAATATGCTAGCTGTTGATATTTGCAGGAAAAAATAATTTTCTTATTTCAGGACAACGTCGTGATCGAACTGCAAGTGGTGCTCCAGCTCTTTCTTGTTTTCAAAGTTGGTGCTGCAGATCAGGCAGAATCCGCTGTTATCGTCATTGTCCGACGACATAATCACGGTAACTGCCTGCTCCGATTCGTCCACGTCCACATGCAGCTCCTCCACTACCTGCTGCTCGTCGGCGGGTGCCTCCTCCCTAACGCCATAGACTAAATCGCCTTCGTGAGTCTTCATGTGCATCTTAAGTGTGTATCGCTCAGTGAAAGACTTTGGGCACACAGAACAGTAGTGGCGCGGCCGGTTCTCCTTGTGGATGAGGGTGTGATGGTTAAAGGTCTTTCGTGACTTGAACGACACATTGCATATGCTGCAAATAATAGGGTTCTCCTCAGCTTCATGGCGCAGACGGTGGTTATATAGTAAATTGTCCTGCGAAAACCGAAGTCCGCACTTTTCACACTGGTACTTCTTCTTATCCCAGTGCATTCGCATGTGACGCAATGTGTTTACTGGGCGCGAGAAGCTCTTTGGGCAGTAGCGACACTGCTTCTCCGTCTTGCCTTCGTGTACGTTCATGTGTAGTTCAAGGTACTCCTCGTCGCGACGTATTACCCCGCAAATGGGACAGACATGATTGGGCTGCTTAGAGTGCTCTTCGCTGATGTGCTTCTGGAGCTGGTACCACGAGTTGTACACCTTTCCGCAGGTGCTGCACTCCTGCTTGACCCGTTTTCGCATAGGCTTGTCTTCGCTGTCGCCCTTGGCATAATTTCCCTCAGACTCACCCACCTCCACCTCGCAGAGGAACTCATTTTCGTCGTCGCCTTCGTACTCCCGCTTGATCTCAGTATCCGAGTCTTCCTGGTCCTTAACTAGCTCTACGAACAGGGCCTCCGCTTCGGCATCGGCATCCGTGTCCTCCTCCTCCAGCGGCACTTCGTCCTCCTCCTCCTCCACTAAAAGATCCTCGCCGGACTCCGGTGCATCGAAATCCGACTTCAGGGCGTGTTTCAGTTGATTAGTGAGCCGCTTCTGTGTCGTCATCAGGTTGACCATAATGGTGTCGTAGTCCGACAGCTCGGTGAAGCAGCGCGGACATAGACGGGAGTTCGTCTTTACGTCCAGCGGCGTGTTGATGCAGTTGGCCAGGTGCGTGAGCACTAGGGAGACAGTCTTCTGTGACGAGGGCACTTTGGCCGACAGTTTTTCATACCGACTTGTTCCAGAGCTCAGCTCTACAGCGCCGCAAAAGAAACACGAGTCCATTGCGGCTTGGGATGTCCCGGATTTTGTTTACAATTCGTGTTTTGCCCGGGGAAATTGTGTATAAAATTTAATAGAGTTGGCAAAAATGTGAGTATCGGAAACTATACCAAAACGCTTCAAATGCAACCCTAAGCATTTTCCAGGGCTGCAAACGCGGAGCGTGAGTCGATTTTTGGAGAAACGGTGAGAATTGAACATGGTGAAGGAAAAATTAGGTGTCCGCACAAATGTTTAATTTTTGTTATTGCTTATTTTAAAAAGATGATAAGGGTAAAATATGTACATATATGATTGATTATATCAATAATATGTAATAAACATCAAATGTGTTGTTTTTTATTTGAATTTTCTGAGGTGACTTAAAAAATACAATATTTAACATATTTGTAATATCATTAGTTTGTAATTACTATGTAACTAGCTCGGCAAATGAGAACTAAGAAGACCTCTTTTCTTGGACAAAACCAAAACTTTAAAAATTGCCGAAATTAGTTTTGGTCTCAAAGGATTAGAAATAGAGTGACCATCAACGTGGCATACCCAAAATCTTCATAGGACGAGCCAGTTAAATTCAGCTGTTGGTACACAAGCAAAGGGCCAAGTAGCAGTGCGTAAAAAACAATTTTAAAATTAAAAAATGTCGTAAAAATGTTCGAACTAAATCAATTTTTATTTTTGATTAAATCTGTGACGTTTCAACTACTTTTTGACGGCTTTCTTAATAAAAGTTTTGCTTCTGCCACAGTGACTTTGTTCTTTGGATAAGATCGAGGCGTCTTCCAAGGTATCCTTGCAAATCAAATTCCTCAACTTTGCTAAAACAGAATAAAGCATCTTTAGACGCTTAGCAATGCGTTTCGGATCAAGAGAAAAGGCCAAATTGACCACAGCTTTGCATTCTCGAAGGATCAGAGTGAAGTCCTTGTGTACCTCCTTGGCATTGTCGTCGAGGAGGGAATAATTAGCAGGTAAACGAAAATGATCCACTAATACACTGCCCATCTGAACAATCAAATTGAGTTGGTCCTTATCCAGCATCTGTATTCTTTCTGCCAGCGTATCTAGAAAATTATTAATTAGTGAGGAACTGTCGACGATCTCGTGGATGACACTGCGTAAGATCAACATTTCTTCATTAAAATGGTCCTCCAGGATTTTGACGTGATGGGCAGATGAAGTTGATTCAGGCAACTGCAGAGCCGGAACGATACAGGCGTCCAAAGACTCCAAGGAGGCAAGGCAACTGCGTACGATCGTCTTTGTTTTAATATTCTGTGAGAACGCTATGGCCAGCACTCCAATCTGCTGGATACGGTCCATATTGGTGTCGAATGAGTCTATCAGATCCCGGGCAGTATGAGAGTCCGACCTCACGGCTTCCTTTATTTTTGCCACCGATGTGTTTTCAAACTCGATTAAGCCGACGAACAGCAGGTGCAAAAGGGCCTCATTAAGGTACGATTCCAGGGCAAAGAGGGCCCGTTCCAAGGAGAGGGCTTCCAGCTTCCGATGACCAGGATTAAGATCGCCTCCCTCTTCATGGAATGTGGCGCATTCGCCAAGTAAGGTCTCGCAAAGAGCAGACAAGGCTTTTTTATCTGTTAAAATTGCAACATTGGCAAACGCTAACGCATGGCGGACAATGTGATTCACTATACTGGTTAGCGGATAATCCTCCAAAAGGCTTTCTTCAAAAATGTTTATAGAGATGTTACGTTTTTGATTCAGTTTTTCTATATAGGAATCTAAACGGTTCAACGCCAAATCCATGAGCTCTACGAAGGAAGTATCCTCCAGGCTCTTTTCAGCATTGCGACTAGTTTCCAGCTGCGTCAAAGAGATAAGCAGCCGGCGCATACACCACTCCAATCGATCGAGAAAGTGCAGCTTTGTCATCTGCGACGCGTCTGCTCTGATTCCCTTCTCTAGATGAGGGATGCAAGCAACCACCTGGTGGAGGCACAGGAAGATTGTCTCGACATCTATGTTGTCGCTGCACGGAGCTAATTCCGGCAATAGTGCCTTGAGGTCGCTGGCAAAATCCAGAAAAGTGGCGCAGAACTCGTTCAGCCAGACAAGATTTCCAGTGCTGGTGGCACCCTCTGCAATTAGCTCGCTGCACGCATTTAACTGACTTAACAATGCATCCATTTTCTAGGGTGTACACTGGCAAAGATAAACCTTTAGACTAAGGATGGCCAGGCAGCAGATGGTCCTTATATACGCAAACAGGTAGATGACGTACTACGGCAGTTGAAAAAAGACATCTGTCACTTTATTACCGAAATCCAGGTAAATCAATGTGGAAAATTCAGATTAAATTCACGATTTTACCTGCATACTTGAAGAATAAAATGTCGAGGATGTGGTAATTCCGTGGCGATAATAGATATTTAAATTTATAATACATACGCACGATTATGTACTTATTCGTACAGATGATAAGCTGCTTATAGATAACTAAACATTATAATTTAATATAGAGCTGCAGCCGCGGTCTTTTCCTCCTTCACTGCCGGCTGGTGGACGCGCTTGTGCACCTTAAGTGTGTACTTGTCGACAAAGGACTTCTCGCAGTCGGGACAGGGATACCGCGGTCGATCGGCCTGATGGGTTCGCAAGTGATGCTTGTAGGTGCGCTTAGTCTTAAACTGCTGGTGGCACACCTCGCAGATCAGAGCATTCTCTTCTGCATCGTGCCGCATCAGGTGGTTGTACATCAACCAGGAGAGCGAGAAACGCTCGCCGCATTTATCGCATTGGTACTTCTTCTTGTCCCAGTGCACTTCCATGTGACGAAGCACGTTGCGCTTGTGGGAGAACTTCTTGTCACAGTAGCGGCACTCTAGCTCCGTCTTACCTTCGTGGAGATTCATGTGCAGGTCTAGAACCTCGTCGTCTTTGACTTTTAGACCGCATATGTTGCAGGTGGTAAACTCGTCCTTCTGACAGTTGTCAGTCTTGATGTGCCTTTCCAGGATCTCTTGGCTAGAGAACATCTCTCCGCAAATGTGGCACGGTATATCCATGTTCTCAAAGAACATCTCCTCAGACGAGGGCATGCTGTCCTCTGCTTCGCTAAACCGGAAATCTTCATCCAGCATTTCCTCCTTCATGAACTCTTCATCCTCTTCTTCCTCATCTTTCATGGGCTGCGGCACTTCGGACGAGGACTGTGAAGCCTCCGTCTCTTTATTTTGCGTAGAGTGCAGTATTTTGAACGCCGGCACTTGAACCCTGGGCTTGGTGACCTGCTTCTTACCCGTTGATTTGAACTCGACTGCGTCTTCTCCTTGCCGGCATCCTAGGAGCGCGTCTGCAATCTGGCGCTGAACTTGACTGAGGTTCCGCACCAGCCTGTCGTAATTGAAAAGATACTCCAAGCAGTCCCGACAAGCAGCTGAGCTAGGTGTGAGCTCCAGGCGCTGGTTTATAATCTTCTCAAAGTACTTTAAAATATCCTTAATTGGTTTGAATGTGCCTGGCACTATACAGCCTGTAAAAATTTTCTCCCATTACATTTTCCCACCAGGAAAGCACCGCATCCAGTCGTTACCTTCAATAAGCTGAAACACTCCCACAGACTTAATCTTGCCGCAAACAAAGCAAAACGGGCGCGTTGAACTCATTTTCGCGTCGCTTTAAGATAGAAAATTATGAATAAAACTAACAAATTGTTGTATATTTCTTATAAAATGCTTGCAAATCAGTTGTGTGGCCAACTCTGAGCGAAAGTAAAAATACTGCACTAAAGAGTTGCCAAAATATCGATACCTATTTAGTTTTCATTTGCTGGAGATACAAAAAAATGTCTGTATATTTTCTCCAACATTCTTGCAAGTCAGCAGTGTGGCCAAGTCTCTACGATAGTTAAAATACTGCTTTAAAGAGTTGCCGAAATATCGATACCTATCTAATATTCATCTGCTTGCAATACAAATAAATTGCTGTACATTTCTTACAAAATAGTTGCAAATAAGCAGTGTGGTCAAATCTAAGCGATATTAAAATTACTACTCTTACAAGTTGTCGAAATAACGATACCTATCTAGTATTCATATGCTGGCGATAGAAATAATTTGCTGTATATTTCTTACAATATAGTTGCAAATCAGCAGTGTGGCCAATTCTCAGCAATAGTTAAAAAACTGCTCTAAACAGTTGTGAAAATATCGATATGTATTCATCTGCTGGCGATACAAATAAATTGCTGTATATTTTACGTGTACCTAGCTTTACAAATAAATTCAAATCAGCAGTGTGGCCAAATATGAGCGATAGTAGTAATAATGCTCTAAAGAGTTGTCAAAATATCGAATATCGATATCTATCTAGTTCTCATCTGGCGGCGAAAAGAAAATTTTACTTGGCAACAAATTTGTTTGAGTTAGTAACAATCTGTACCGGTCGGAAAACATATACTTGAGGCACAAGCATGAAGATTGAAGAAGTTAAGAGCACCGTGCGTACCCAACGCATCGCCGCCCACAGCCACGTGAAGGGGCTCGGGCTGGACGAGGCCGGATCGGCCATACAGAGCGCAGCTGGACTAGTGGGCCAGAAAGCGGCCCGCGAGGCAGCCGGCATCGTTGTCGACCTGATCAAGTCAAAAAAAATGGCCGGCAGAGCCCTGCTGCTGGCTGGCCCACCGGGTACCGGGAAAACCGCCATTGCCCTGGCCATCGCCCAGGAGCTGGGCAACAAAGTGCCCTTCTGCCCCATGGTGGGATCTGAGGTATTTAGCAACGAAATCAAGAAGACCGAGGTGTTGATGGAGAACTTCCGCCGCTCTATTGGGCTTCGCATCCGTGAGACCAAAGAGGTGTACGAGGGCGAAGTCACAGAACTCACTCCAGTGGAAACCGAGAATCCCATGGGTGGCTATGGCAAGACCATCAGCAACGTGGTCATAGGCCTGAAGACGGCCAAGGGCACCAAACAGCTAAAGCTCGATCCAAGCATCTTCGATGCCTTGCAAAAGGAGAAGGTGGAGGTTGGGGATGTGATATACATAGAGGCCAACAGTGGAGCAGTCAAGCGCCAGGGACGCAGCGACACTTTTGCCACTGAGTTTGATCTTGAAACCGAGGAGTACGTGCCGCTGCCCAAAGGCGATGTGCACAAGAAGAAAGAAGTGATCCAGGATGTCACTCTTCATGACCTGGATGTTGCCAATGCCCGTCCGCAGGGCGGTCAGGATGTGCTCTCTATGATGGGCCAACTCATGAAGCCCAAAAAGACAGAAATAACAGGTAAGCTCAATTTTGTTGTATATCTTATATTTATATAATATAATATATCCTTATACACTTTCTGGTTTCCAGACAAACTACGCTTGGAAATCAACAAGGTGGTAAACAAGTACATTGACCAGGGAATAGCAGAGCTAGTACCAGGTGTCCTTTTTATTGATGAGATACACATGCTTGACCTGGAGACCTTCACCTATCTGCACAAGTCGCTGGAGTCCCCCATAGCCCCAATTGTGATTTTTGCCACCAATCGCGGACGCTGTGTAATTCGGTAAGAGTTATAGCATATCATGAGGGCTTTTCTGTACCTTCCTTGTAGCAGTAACACTTAAAGTTTCCAATGTTACGTGTTGTCATGTGTTATGTGTTGTCTTAGCAACTCCGAGACTCTTTGTTTGGAATGGGAAGGCACTACCTTCATATACTAACTTTCCCCCACATTCAAAATTTTTGTATTTCGTATAATCCCAAGTTGTTAAATTTCTAAATATATTACAGTGGTACAACCGACATTGTCTCCCCTCACGGCATTCCGCTGGATCTTCTGGATCGCCTGTTGATCATCCGCACTTTACTTTACTCCACCGCCGACATGGAGCAGATCATTAAGCTTCGCGCCCAGACGGAGGGTCTTCAGCTGGAGGAGTCTGCCTTCGGGCGCCTAAGTGAGATTGGAACCAATTCTACGCTGCGCTATGCTGTGCAGCTCCTGACCCCTGCTCACCAGATGTCCAAGGTGAACGGTCGCAGCCAGATCAGCAAGGACGACATCGAGGATGTGCACTCACTCTTCCTCGATGCAAAGCGTTCCTCGAAGCATCTTTCCGAGAAGAACAATAAGTTTATGTTGTAAGTTTAGTGCTTGCGCCAGAATTGTAATTCCATTCGCACCAATTAATAAAAAAATAACGAATTTGGTCATTGGTTTTATGTGATAATGAAATTAAAAAAGAGTGCAAACTTCGGCTTAAATTTGTCCCCATGTGTGAACATTCTACATCATGTGTCTAAACGTGTAAAATGGTTATCTAAACGTGTAAGATGTAAAATATAAAAATGTTTTAACATCGATAGTACACGATATCGATGTTTTGAAAGCAATTTCCAAACATCGTTAGTATCGTGTAAAATTTTTGTCTACACGTGTATGATGTACAATATACAATTTTTTGAACATCGATAGTGCAAGATATCGATGTTTTGAAAACAATATCCAAACATCGATAGTGCTCTAATGTTTTGCCAGCACTAACATTTGGTTAAAAACTTCGAAAAAAAAAACACGTCGCGCGGAAAGTTGTATCAAGTATATGTATTTTTTAAACCCTTCGAGGTGTAGGACTCACCCTGCGCTCCCGCCCATAAAGTGCATAAAGAATTTGTGTATTTCTTCAACTCCTATGCGGTGTAGGCGTCTTTTCACCGCCCCCGTGCCAGTGTCTAGTGTTTTGCGCCACGCTCTGACAACGCAACGCCGGCAGTGCGTGTGTTCCAACTGGAAATAATGTGAAATCATTATGATTTATAATTGTTATAGGCGTAATTAGTTATTACGCATTGTGTTTAAATTCAATGAATCCACCCCTGATGGCGAAATCAACGTGAAATGGAAACAGTTGGGATCCAGTGGCTGGAGAAGAAGAACCAACGGCTGCTAAAACAGGGCAAGAGCGAAAGAGAGCGAAGGCAAACAAACGAAACAAAAGAAACAACACAAGGTAAGTGCGTGTGTTGAGTAATGTCAATATGCATATATGCCTGTGTGTGGGCCGCACCTCGCAGACAGAAAATGTAGCAGTGTGTGGGGTGACTTCGTTTTTTTTGGCATTAACTGCTATTACTTTTTGAGTAGCATGAATGCGGGAATTACATAATTTCTGTCTCATGTTCGTCGCCAGCTTAGAAAGCGAAAGCGAAAACGATACCGAACTTCCATTCTGATTGGGATTCCAATTCCATTCTTTTACTGAATAAATTGGATTGTAAGAATTAAATGCATGCATACGAGTGGATTTGATTTTTGGAGCATTAACCAGTTGCGCTTTCCATCGCGTTCGCACACACATGACTGCTCTATAAATCAAATGTGAAATTTGCGAAAAGGCAACAAACAAAAGAGCAAAAAGCGTTGAACTCCCTCGCCTTGAAAACGTAGAGGAAGAAACTTTTGCAGCTGTTTCGCGCAATCGTATTTTGTATGTCGTTTTCAAGGAATTAATTTTTTTTTTGCGCGCGAGTATTGCTGGTGAAAATTGTTTAAAAATAATAAACACACATTTATATGGAATGTTGACGGCGGCGCATGCTGTGAATTTCTCGCCCACACTGCTTCTCTTCCTCTTTCACTCTCGAACGTTGCCAAGTTTTTGACCGTAAGACTTAGGACTCAGCAGTGCCAAAAATTTAGTCGGCTAAAACTACCCCATTTTCTATTAAACTAGTTTCTAATTTGGCACGCCTTTAAACTCTTTATGATATGGTTGATTCTGTTAAAAAATGTTTTTACATGTCAAAGGGTTTTCTTAAAAGTTATATACATATATATATATATATATATAGAAACGCCGTATATATGATTGGCCGAAAAGTTAAGGTTTTGTCAAATCTGATACGTTTTTAGGAACAATTAGTTGTATTTTTATACCCATGCCGAGTATAATAGTTTTAGTTGGAAGTTTGCAGTGCAATTATAGATTCGTTTCCGACCTTATTACGTATACATACGTACATACATAAATACGTATGTATATTCTTGATCAGAATAAACAAGAGTCGATTTAGTTAGTCTGTCCGTTAGTCTGTCGTTTTCTTCGGATTTTATTATAAAGACCTAGGAAAAGTTCGGTGTTTTTATACTCTTGCAGGGTATTATAATTTCAGTCAGATGTTTGCAACGCAGTGAAGGAGGCACCTCCTACCATATAAATTATATATATTCTTGATCAGGATCAACAACCGAGTCGATCTAGCCATGTCCGTCTGTCCGTCTTTCCGTCTGTCCGTTTCTACGCAAACTAGTCTCTCAGTTTTAAAGCTATCTGAATGAAACCTTGTAGTTAGACTTCTATATACTCTCATTCGTATATAAGTCGGATCGGACGATCATATCATATAGCTGCCATAGGAATGATCAGAAAATTTTTACAAAACAAATTATTACATTTTCAGTTATCAACAGAACTTGATCAAATTTGAGATATACACATTTTATATTACTCTACAATTTTGTGTAAAATTTTATGAAAATCGGACTACTATATCCTATAACTCCCATAGGAACGATCAAGAAATAATTCAATTAAAAAACGATCGTAAGATATAGATGATAAATGCAAATCTGTGAATGTAAAACTGTAAATATAATATGTTTATGTGAATAAAATGAAACCAGGTATTACTTTATTGTTTTTTAACATAAATATATTTAATTTATATTGTATTGATTCCTAGTCAGCGAAGTTCTATCTGCAAGGGTATGTAATATAGGTTCGTTATTTTTCAGTTGACCGAAATTGACTGATTTTTAATGATTTAAATGAAAACTTCAGAGGTATATACACTATATATATATATACACGATTCGAAATTGGCTTAATTTTATGTTGTTCTATGCTTCAGTATTTGCCGAGGTTTTTCGACAATGCGTGGGCGGTGGGGGTGTGGTAGTTTTAGTGGCAACGGTGTCTAAAAAACATTGCGCTGGGTTGCCAAACAAAAGCGGCAGCCGTGTACTGTCCCAGCCCTGGTCGCTGCTTTGGTGTTTAGTGTCCGGGGCTTTGTGAATGTGCAGCACACAGCCTTGTAAGCGCCACCCACACAAAGACAAACCACACAAAAATGTTTATGACGTGAGCAAAAGCTGGCAAAGTCGCCCACGCCCCAAGTCGCGCTTTAGAAGCGTCATTTGCTCAGCTGAGCTCGTTTTCCATTCTATGTTTTCGCTCTTTCTGCGCCTGCCTCTTTCAAGCCGAAGCTCTGAGCGTTCATCTCTGCCTGCGATTTCAAGGTTCTTTCAGAACCGATGTTTGCATTTAATAGGTGTAAGAGGACTCTAAGTGATAGCGTAGCGTAAATTTCATACTATGATAACTTGCTGAGTTTGCCCAAAATTCACATTTATTAATTTTGAATTAAAGCTCCTAGATTAATTATTTGCTCCATTCACAAAGGTAACATTCCTACCCAGTTTGTGTTTTGTTTCTCACAAAATGGCGGGTATGCGCATGTTTATGCATTCGCCCTCCATTCTTTGCTCAAGCTCTTGATCTGAAGTTCAATTTCGTTTGTGTGCCATTCGCCTCAACTTATCAATGACAAAAAAGTCGTCGCCTTGACATAATAAACTTTGCCATTTGTGCATCATCTTCGCCTTCTTTTCCCTCTTGGGCTCGGTCTCCTTGTTGTCCTAACCTTGTGCCAATAAAATATAAAAACAACACAATATATGCACCGCACACACTCTTTTCTGGCACAAGTTTCCACTTGCCATTGTGCATTGAAGGTGCGGGTGTTGGGAGGGAAAACTGACGAAATGGGGATATTTTAGTGTGTCGAGCAGCACTTCATTTCTGGCTAGTTATTTCGGCTAACCATCTCGGTTACGCCTCAGCTGTGCCACACGGAGGCGCCGGTCGCCGGTCTGTAGCTCGCTCCCATTAATATCCCATTTCGTTATATCTACCTGTTAGTTGGCGCTGAGGTGATCAACACCTTCTTCTATATAGGAGGCAGAGAGAGAGAAAGAGAGAGAGAGAGAGCGAGCGTAGGGGGAAACAGCTGTGTGTGTGGGCATTGCGAGGTGAGTGGGCTCGTTAAAAGCGCCTCGGTGAGTCAACTCGATTCAAAACACTCGGGTTGCTAAGTTTTTTTTATTATTTTCTGCGGGCATGAAAAAGTCCACATTTGATCGGCCTAAAATGTACTGGGGAAAAAGAGTTGGTGGTAGTTTGAATTATTGTAAAAAATTCTTCAGATCTTATTCTTCACAGAATATCGATTGACTTACTAGATTGGGTATGGCTCTACTACCGCATTAGTTTTTAATTCAAAAATTATAATATCTTTGACTGCTGGAATTTTCAGTGTTCCAAAATGACTTTGGAGCCTATGTTTGTGTAAACATTTGTACGTGCCGATATTATACTGTAACAAGAAAGGAAGCTAACTTCGGCACGCCGAAGTTTATATACCCTTGCAGATAGAACTTCTATGAATAAAATGATACAATATAAATGATATATATTTGTGTTAAAAAACAATGAAGTAATACCTGCTATTATTGTATTCACCTATACATATTATATTTGCAGTTTTACATTCAAAGATTTGCATTTTTCCTCTACATCAAACGATCGTTTGTATGGCACCTATATGATATAGTCGTCCGATTTTCATGAAATTTGACACAAAATTTAAGACTAATATAAAATGGCTATTCCTCAAATTTGATGAAAATCTGTTGAAAACTTAAAATGTTATAATTTTTAATTGTATTAAATTCTCGATCGTTCCCATGGGAGCTATATGATAAAGTAGTCCGATTTTTATAAAATTTTATGCAAAATTGTAGAGTATAGGAAAATGGCTATATCTCAAGTTTGATCCAATTCTATTGAAAACTGAAAAAGTTAAAAATTTTTTTGTAAAAATTTTCCGATCATTCCTATGGCAGCTATATGATATAGTCGTCCGATCCGGCCCGTTCCGACATATATACGAGTGAGAGTATATAGAAGGCTAACTACAAAGTTTCATTCAGATAGCTTCAAAACTGAGAGACTAGTTTGCGTAGAAACGGACAGACGGACAGACGGACAGACGGACAGAAGGACAGACGGACAGACGGACAGACGGACAGACGGACATGGCTAGATCGACTCGGCTGTTGATCCTGATCAAGAATATATATACTTTATATAGTCGGAGGTGCCTCCTTCACTGCGTTGCAAACTTCTGACTGAAATTATAATACCCTGCAAGGGTATAATAAATATTTGCAAGTAAATGGACAGCTCACTTGGACTTGCATACACTTACCACCCATTTCTGGCAGCCTTTTATATTTGGCGGTTTCATTCATTAGCCTACTAAAGTATATCCCCCTATGTGTTTGTGACTGGTTAGTGCTTATCAAAAAAATTTTAGCGGTACGCGCGGGGGCTTAATTTACTTATTGCCGCACAACTGTCATCCAAAGACGTGAGAAAGAAATACCTAAAAATGAATGATTCATGAGCTTGGCATGTCGACATTAGGGTCGCTGCTTTTTTGTTGTGTTGGCAGGCACTTGGAAAAAATTAGGGCTGCTTAATGGTTTCAATATTGAAATGTAGCTTAGGATCTAATGTAATACCCTTACATCGTTGTGCATATTTTTTAAATTTTCCTCTATATATTGTTTAAAATATTTGGGCTCCAATTTTATTAATGTGGTTTACCTTTTAAACCGTTCAAAAATACAAAATTTTAAAAATGATTGAGTAATTACATATGTACCTTACACAGGCTAGTGACAGAATATGTTATTTCAAAGGATAATTCTTGTGGACTATAAAATTTAATAAGAACGGACAATTTGTTAAAAATATATTCTAAACAAGTGAGGTGGTGTCGTTTTAGTAAATTCTCTGTGTGTACTTCGATGGGCGGTGGTCGCTGATAAACTGATGTACATACGTGTTGGGATTTTAATTTGATTTTCTTAAATTGAATTTCGTTT